GTATAGCATGAGTTGGCAGATTTAGTTCCTTCCATGTCAAGTATTTCTCTTGTTATCCGCATGCTTCGTATACTGTAATGTGCGTTTGACAGTGAAGTGCAGTGTGTCACTTCTGCATAACTGTGCATTTAATGCCAATTCAATTGTCGTAGAATTTAGCTTGGGCCATTTGGTGTCAGTTAATAAAAATGGACAGCGGAGGCAAGACCCTTAGTGGAGCTCGGTCTGAAAGAGCAGCCTCAGATGGCCTGAGCAAAGTACAATGCCTTGCTAAGGCAGCTCTCCTGCTGCTTCAGGTGTCTGAGCCAGGCTCTGCAACCACTTGTGGTAGTGTGATGTGCTTTGCAGATGTGTGATATTTTTTTGGGGGGCCATGATGTTAATGGGACAGCGCTCAGAAGGACTGTTAGAAAGGAAAACGTATGAGAAATTACTCAGTAGACTCAATGGGTATGTGAGCAACCTGGTTGAAATTTGAGATTAATTTAGGTGCCAGAAATGTATTTTCTTTTCTCACTGAGGATGCTGAATCAATATTAATCCTTGTCTGAAAAAAAATCACCAAAGGCATATAGGCATTTTTTGCTGATGAGCTTTGTTTCTTGTGGCTTGGTATGACAGCTGATCTTGGGGTGGGGGTTTGGGTTGGGTTTTTTGCATTTATGTAAAGCAGCTAGGTACAGGGGTAGAAAGAGGGTAGTAACAGTTCTGTGTGTAATTCATGCTCCTGTAAATTAAGTACATTAGTGAAAGAGTAAGCCTATACCTGCTTTATCATGAATGACCAAGATCCCTGTTTTACACTGAATAATGTAAACATCTCTGACAGCTCTTTCCTGACCAAAAGAAATCAGAGGGGAAGTTCATGGATAAATGGAAACAGCCAAGAAAAGCTTATTGAATCATTCTGAGCTGAACAATTGTTTCAGTTGCTGCCTGTCTCTGTTCAGACCCCTGGCACTGCAGAACTGCGGGTCACGTGCTGGGAAGCCTTGCTTTTTTGTCCTGGCTTGTCAAAACAATTTAATGTAGGTGGAAAGGAATGAATGAAATGAACGGAGTGGGCTTGATGCATCTGTTTCAGTTTGTTCGAAGAGCAGCCCAGTGATTGGGACTTAAGTGCTCCAGGGAAGCTATCGGTTCGGGAAGAACAATTCTGGCCATTTTACGGGATAATTAAATCCATTTTAGGAAGCAAGCTGTCCTACAGATTGACAGCTTTGTATATTTTTAAATATTTGGGCTGTATCTGCTTAGCATGTGCTAACTGAGATACAAGAATGCGATTTGCTAACTTGTAGACTTAGGACTTGTCTGCCTAAGGTTGTTTTGTTATGGTAGGAATTCCAAAACAAATCGATCTTTAAAGGCTAGGATATCAAGCCCTATATTAGCTGTTCTTGAAGTGTCTTTTCTTCATAAAATTGTTCAAGTTTCCCAGGCTTATGGGCAAGCATCTTATGTGAGAGAATTGAATCAAATGGAGTGCTTAGTTTGAATCATGTGCCACAAACTTTTTGCTATATCTTTAGAGGTGGAGGTAGACCACCATTGTCACACACTCCTGCTCAAAGGAGTGGAATCCACAGTGGAATCCAAGTATTGCCTCAAGCAGCTGCCTTGTTGGAAAGACACATCTGGGCTTTTGAGACTTGGAGTACAAACTTATAACTGAAGACTGTGAAAGCTCTCGCCTTCCCAAATTCTTGAAAAATGCTCTTTTAAATGCTCATGATGGCTTCTTTCTCTCGGCTGCTGTACAGCAACTTTGTGTGTGGATTTCATGTGATACCAAGATGTTCTTATTCCCCTGCCTTTCCTCAAGTATTCATACCTAATGTGGCTGGTGGCACCATTTCTCAGTCTCCCAAATGACATATGGTGCTCTATTTTCTTGCTTATCTCAATATTTTAGTAGCTGCAGCTGCTGAAATTGTATATTTGTACAAGAAAGGGCATAAAGTTGTCACATTTGCCCATACTAACAGCTCAAAGGATGCCAAAATGTAGTATTTGGGATGAGCGTTGTTGTAGTCCATCTCTATGCAGTCTGGGAAATCTTACCGTCTAATACGTTTTTAGGTTCTGGTGTATGGAATACTCAAGTTTTGAAAGTGTACTAGTGATTCTTAAATTGCATGTTAGCCTGTATGCTAACTATTTGCAGGTTGCATTAGAATGTAGTTTGTACGAGTAGAACCAGTCATTGTGTATACAGATTCATTTTTTTGGTATAATTGTACATGAGATCTAATATTTTGCTGAAGCACTAGGCTTGTTTTTAAGTATATTCACTCTTTTTGGTTACCTAGCATTAGTGTTCCTTAAGGAAAGATATACTCTCATCCATAACAGTTATTGGTATGGGTTGTGTATGCAAGGAAATGAGGGTGGCTTAAAGGTAGTACGCGTCCCTAGCCTTATGAACAAGTGGCCTCTCTGTCTTTTTCTTACAGCTCTGTTTTATGTTCACTGTTGCTGCTGCAGTATGCTGCTGAAGGGTGTGATGTTTCCTTGGTTGCAAAAACATAGCTGTCTTCCCTGGGTGAAATTTGTTGCCCTGTGTTTGTGTCCAAACTTGTCCCAGATTATTAGGGCACTGTAACTTTCAAAGAAGTGTTGAATTACTTGGTATATTGTCACTGTTCTAGTGTGGCTTTTTTTTTTAATGCTAGCACTGGAGTGTTGAGTTCCCGTTTTAAATGTCACAGATATGTTTGCAGGAACACAATGCTACCATTTGATGTGACCAGAAAGAGAAATGAGTCAAAATACGCATGTCCATTAAGAGTCTGTTAATTGGTAAGAGTGATTAGCACTTTTTAGTTTCTGTTTGGGGCTAGTAGTGTAGCGGTAGGGAAAACTGAATAAAGCCCTGAAGGGAGATTAGGTTTACATAGATTATGATGAGAACATAATGTCAAGTGTAGTCTAAAACTGGTTAGTAGTGTTTGTGGTAGATAACTTGTTGGAATGCACCAAATAAAGGAAATTTAATCCAAATGTATATCTAAAGTCTAGGTTTTGGACAAAAACGAATTGCAGGTGTTCATATTGCATAGCTAAATTTAAAAGTAATACAAAAGTAATTTTGCAGCCTTGTTTTTATAATTACCATATATAATAATTGGGTTTACACCTATACACTAGTTTTAAAATGTGGATTATATAGATCAAGTGCAGAGACTGAGAAGACTGCTTTATTTTACTGTAAGAATGATTATGTTAGTGTGATTTTTGTATTGCTTGAAGCATTGAGTGTTTCTTAGAAGCATGTGTGTATGTTCTGTTGACTGTACCTATTGCAGCCTCACTGCTTTCCTGTATCGCTGCTGTTTGTAGCAGTAAAGATTAACTGGTTTTGAACAGAATTTGTGCTGCCCTGTTTATTGTAATGAAAGGACAGCTATTAGATGGGTAAGATAGCTCAAATGGAAGTATTGCTTCCATATTAAAAAAAAAAAAACAAAACCACAAAAATCAACACCTAAGCAGACATGAATACTAAATGTTTGTGGAGTGTTTCTGCAAACATGTTGTATTGAAATTTGTTTGTGCAAGTATGGTTATGAAGGTGTGAGAAGAGGTGGTAGTGCTAATTTCTGCAGAGTGAAATAGTTGCTGGATTGAATGCTTTTGATGTCTATAGACTAAATTTGCAAGGCTTAAGAATTTAGCATCTTCCCAAGAACTGTAAAAGTGTGTGTTTGTGTGATTGACATTTGTAGGCATTGATAAGATACTGATCCCTCAGGTAATTTCAAACCTGTTTTTAAACTTTTACTTGGAAGACTTTAACGCTTATGAAAATTAGAGCTTTATTTGGAAATTAAGTTTGTCCATGACCAAAGACACTCTGTGAACCTCTTAGAAAAAGTTAATAATCTACGTGAATATAAGATGGTTTAGATATTAGCATGGCTGAACGACATTGAGAAAACACATTACCTTTAAACAAAGGAAGAGGAATTACTGCCTGGAGGACGATAGGAGGTTGTGAGCAGTATAAGTAAACCCTGCCTATTTTTACTACCTCATTTTAATTGAAAAGGAAATACGGAATGAAGTCACTTAAAATTATTACTCAGGTTTGACAAAGTTGTCACTGGTTGTTCCTAAATAACTGTTAGAAACAATGATTCTAAAATTGTGGTTTTTAAGTATATCCTGGAATTATTTTTTTTTATAAAATACAGACTGCATATGGATCCAACTTAATGTCTGTTGATCAATCTGGCGTGTGTGACCAGTGCATTGGTAATGCATTGGTAAGCTGACAACGTTGAATGATACAAGGAGACTGTTATCTCTTGAGATGTGCAGCTTATTCTGGTAATAGCTTCTCAGAGTCTTGATGATATCTGATAGCCAGTTGTTAGTAGATAATACAACAGTGTTGTCCAGAAATGCTTTTTCATGATCTGTCTCTGGCCAAAAGATTGTGTTCTGTCTCTAGTGAGTTATGTTTTTGTTTTCCTTGATGCTAGATTACAGGGAACTTGCTCAATCATGAGGTCATGCTTTTAATCAAAGAAAATCAAACTCATTTGCTTGTTCTCCTACGTTAAAAGTACATACTATGTATTAGAGAGGTTTGATGCTCTACCCCTTATATGGAGAGAGATGCTTTAAATGATCTAATTTTGTCTACTCTTGACCACTTGAATATTTGATGATGTTTATGTCCCCCTTCCACCTCAAGTCAGGCAATGACAATTTATTAGAGTAGGGGAGGAGGAAATGGGAAGAGGAGAATACTCTACAGACTCGCAATTCTTACCTCTGAGAGCAATCAGATTGGAAGGAAAAATATATGATAAAAAAGACTGTAATAGAATGTCTTCTAAATAGAGTATTTAAGGATAACTGCAAACAAAATGGCATTTAAGACAACTGATTCTTACTTGTTCACTAACTGTACCCAACTGTGTTTCAAGTTTCTGCTTCTCTGAGTAAGACATAAAGCAAAGCTTTCTCATGTACCTTTTCTTTTTCATTAGGATCGGAAGCTGTCCAAGTCAGAGAGACAAAGATTTAAAGAGGAAGCTGGGATGCTGAAAGGGCTTCAGCATCCTAATATTGTTAGGTTCTATGATTCCTGGGAGTCTACAGTCAAAGGAAAAAAGTGTATTGTTCTTGTGACGGAACTCATGACATCTGGAACATTGAAAACGTAAGTAAATTAAGGCATGTCAAAAGCGTATGAGAATGATTAGCACAAAATTGGAGCACTCAAAATAGATCAAATTTCAGAATAGATAAGAACAGAGCACTTTTGCTGAGGGCTAAGCTTCTGTAGGGGATTTCTTGTTTAAGAGGAGTCTTACTAGCACTGCAGGGTATGGTAGAACATCCCTTAAGTTAGCAAGCTTGTCATTCTTCCTTGTGATGTCCTGTTAAGCACATGCAGAAAACTTTCAGATTGAGAGCTCAGGAAGACAATGCTCGATTTTCACTCCTCATAATTTTTCATTTTCCTCTGCAGCTGCCTTCCATTTAGCATGAGCTGGTTTGTAAAGTTCCAAGTACAGATTCGTCTGTTTTGGGAGGTTTTGGGTGTTACTACAGTGCTAATAATAGGTAAAAAGAAACAAACCCCACCACCTATTTATTTAACTGAAACTTGAGGAAGTAGTACCTAACAAAAATCTGAAAGTATATGCAGATGCCTGCAGTTTCAACACGTGAAGTACTTGAGTGAAACTAAGTCTGTTTTTAAGCCAGAGTTAAAGTAGACACCAACAAATCGAACTGCTGCGAGGGCCCTCTGGTGGTATGCGGAGCCTGCCGGGAGTAAGGCTGAAATCATGCCTTTGCCTTGCACTCTGGAGACTTAGAGCTGTGAGCTTGTTCGCGAGCATCCGGTCACCATTAATCTACTGGAAGAAAACCTGCCAGCGTTTGAAACTCAGGGATCGTGGGTCGTTGCCTTAATTCAGTGTCCATCTAAGTCTTGGAGAGGCATTGAAACCGTAAATGTGTAAACAGGCTGTAGGAGCTGGAAACAATTTGCAATCTGTTTGGTTAAAATAGCCTGTGAATGTCTTGTGTTTTTACCATGCTTATTGATAGCCACAAAGGGACATATTTAAAGAAGGAAAAAATGGCTCTTTGGGTGTCTGGACTGCAATTACAGGGAAGTGTTTGTCTCTTGAAATAGTACTGGAGGGCTAAAGATACTGCAACTTTCTTTTTAGACGTATGTTCAGGGAAGACTTTTCTGGCATTGTTGAAGGTATTTCAACGTATATATAGATAGAGAGAGAGTTGATATATATAGACATATATAGATATAATAGATCTGTTGTTTCATGTGCTGTTTTCAGACCAGTAATAAAGTAAAGGTTTTACAGCTCTGTACAGAGGTCTTTAAATAAAGTTACCTAATTTTATGCTAGAATGTGTAGTGTTCTACATATTCGATTCCTTTCTCCCCTTCAGATTTTAATATTTGGATTGGCTTAAGTGATAAAAGAGAATTATGAAGTAGGGTGTTGGTGGGAAGAAATACCTCAGATTTGCTGGCTATAGGATTATTTTGTACTCTGAAGTATGAAAATCTTTTTATTTTAGCCAGAAAGAACTAACAGGCTCTTTAATTGAAGATCCTTTAAACTATAGACTTCTGGGTGGTTTTTTTACCCACTATTTTATAGTTTGCTATATGGGAAATTTCTGATGTGCCAAATTTGATATAATTAAGTAGTTAATGTACCTGTGTCATATTCCTAGATTTACACTGCACGCTTGTGTTTGCTTATGATATTTGGCTGACTGAGTATTACTTCCATATCTTTTTTTGGTATGTTTACATTACCTGCATTTAATACAAGTGATACCTTCCTCATTTTGAGAGTTGGTACATAGACATTGTTGTCACTTGACGTAAAAAAAAGTGAACAGGAGTGTGGTGATATCTTAAAGTAAATTTTCCTCATGTTTTTTCTTATTTTATACATTTATGTATATACACACATAAATAATGTTAAAATATTGTGGACTCATTCTTTTCAAATGCTGTCTGGGCAAACTTCTAATTTTGCATGAAGAAAGGTCCCTAAAGTAATGCAATTAAAAAGTTGAAAAGTGTTAGAACTCAATTGTTATAAAGAATGAATCTGCTTTCTGTTATTGTATGCTATCATGGAATTAAAACATTGGAGAAAAAAAAAATGGAGTTGCTTACTTTAAGTCTTAATTACACTATTAATGAAGACAGCAATTTTAAATGTGACCTAGGTCTCAGCCACTTATTTTTGTCTAAGACCGTTGTAGTGTGTGTGTTCCTGATGCACTTTAAATGAATGTGTCAGCTAACACATACCTTCATAACTACCTCTGCTAACTTAGTAGGGTTTCCTATAGCTCCTCTAGCTGAGAATGCTATAGGTCAGCAGGCTTCCTGCTTAAAAAAACCCAAACCAAAAACCCCTTCAGACAAAGTCAAACTCTAGTTCCTGTTTCTCACTATTCATTGAAGCTAACTATTAAGAAAGCCTTGTGTTCTCATCTTTCTTTGTGTTCTGTGCAAAGATCAAATACCTATCTTTTTAAAAATTGAGTAGTACCCTGCAAAATGGACAAGAACGACATTGATTAAGCAGGAACAAGTTCAGTGGAGGGCCACAAAGATGGTCAGGTGCTCGAGTACCTGCTCTGTGAGAAGGGGCTGAGGGAACTGGACTTGGTCATCCTGAAGAAGAGTATCCTTTTGGGGGGACCTAACAGCAGCCTTCCAGGGCGTATGAGGGAGTCAGTGATGCATGGTGGGAAGATTAGAGACAACAGGCATAAATTGAAACAAGAGGTTCAGATTGATTTAAGTAGAAGCTATTTTGGTGATGATAGTCAGGCACTGGAACAGATTGCCCCAAGGTGTTGTGTGGGCTCCATCCTTGGAGATACTAGAAACCTGGCTGGATGCAGCCCAGAGTAACTGTGTCTGACTTGATGGGTGACCCTACCTTGAGTAGAAACTTAGACTAGAAACCTCTTGGGTCTCTTCAAGCCTGAGTTATCCTATCATACTAGGAAAATTGAAAACATACTAGCTAGCAGGGTTGTGTGTGTATTTTTATGTATTTATATATGCTTCCATTTTAAAATGGCTTCTGCCTTAAGTGACATGTGACTTAGTTCATGACAGTGTTATGGAAAAATGACAGCAACACTGCAGGATGCTGGGTGATGGTTGGATCCAGGTCCTTTAACAGTCAGTGAGAAGCTGGCAGGAGACTAGCATATTTGAAACCAAGAATGTAATTAGGGATTCCAGATGCTGAACTGAAGTGCCCCTACCATGTGATCTTTGGAACAGGCTCAAGAAAGATGAATGAGGGTTGTGTCAATAGCAAGAATTCAAGTGGTAGCTGATGTGATCCAGAACCTCCTTCAGTTTGTCTCCTTCCTTGGCTTTTTCCCCTGCCTGTCTCTACATTCTGTTTTGAGACTTGATTTCCTTCTGGAACTGGGTCCCAATTGCTTTTACAGATCTGTTTTCACAGCAGGATTATTGCTCCCAACTTGATTTTCCAGATCATCTTTTGAACTGGAGAAATTAAAGTAAAAGAAGTTAATATACTGCATTTTTGCTGGCTTTGATTCAAGTGATTTCATCAAGGCTTTTTCTTCTGATTAAGTGGATATGCAGAGAAGACTGAACACCACCACAGAATAATTGAACATGACTTGGTTTTATTTTAAGCTTGTAGTTGCTAGACTCGACGCTGGCCACAGAATTTACTACCAGTCTTGCAGTAGTGTGAAACTGGTCTTTGAGACTTTGTCTGAGTAACACTGGCTGAATAAAAATGAAGGCCTTGCCCTACACAGCATGCTAGTTCCTTTCTCTAAATGTATTTCAGTCCATACTTTTTCAAAAGGAAGAAAACAGCTCTTCAAATTGTTTTACCCAAAAAGAGCTTGTGAGAATACACTGCTGGAAAGCACTTGAAATATTGTCATAGGTTATTCATCTTGTGGCATCTCTAATCTGTTGAAGTTAAGGAATAGAATAAGATCATAGTCTTAGGTCACAAGCATTGGAAAATACTTTTGATGTGAAATTTGACTCTTCTTACATGGGATTTTAAAAAGTGGCAATGTTAGAACAATTAAGGTTGGGTCACATTCTACCTGCAAAGGGATACTGATTTTACATATGAACTCTTACATGCCAGTTATTTGGCAGAGCCTTTTTAACGATTTCCCTGCCCCGTCCATATCTGTCCATAGTTTTGTAGTGAGTAGTACCAATCAGATTCAGGTGATCAAACCCTGTCCTGCACCAGGGAAGTAATCTCTATGAATTTCTAATTTGCTTGACAACTCAACAAGTGAATTTGAAGCAGATTTAAAGTGTAACCTGGAAATCTTGACCAGAGTGCGTGGACTAATATTGGTAACCAAGATATAATGACTTTAGAGCTCTTGCAGAGTTTGCAACAACTCTGTACTTAGTTGTTACTAGTGTTTTGGCTCTAGTGCCCTACCTTCGCACCCAGTTATATTTAATTAAGGAAAAGGTTGTAGCTGTTTAAGCAGTTTCAGGATAAAAGGTGAAACAAAAGCTCCTGAATGGATAAAGAATTGTTATAATGTGTAATCCTTTAACTGTCAGGGAAGCAGTGCCTTGAAACGTAACAAGCCAACTGTCTAATTACCATAGGATGACTTTGTAAATTAATTATTTGGCTATAGAGCAAGCATTTCACATTTCTCTTTCAGCACTATAGTCCCCTGACTAGAAGAAAGGGGCTAGGCTCTAGGAGAGGGAATCATCTTTAGCTCCTCTGAAGTCTTGAAATGCCCAGGTAGATTTTAAAATAGCAGGTGAAGTTGAAATTTCTGCATCTTTTTAATAATTGCTTTTTTTACTTCAGAACAGCAAATAATATAGCATAGTCTACTGCTTGTATAGCAGAACCTGTTTAACCTACTGCAATTTTTTTTGTTAGGTATTTGAAAAGATTTAAAGTGATGAAAATTAAAGTACTACGAAGCTGGTGCCGTCAGATACTGAAAGGCTTACAATTTCTACACACGCGCACTCCTCCCATTATACATAGAGACTTAAAATGTGACAATATCTTCATTACTGGCCCCACTGGATCAGTCAAGATTGGAGACCTTGGTCTGGCAACCCTGAAACGAGCTTCTTTTGCCAAAAGTGTGATAGGTAAGCCTCTCCTGCTTTGGAGGCTGGTGAGCCAGTCTGCCTATTTGGAAACTTAAGTCTTTTAAGAGCTTTCCTGAAAAGTATGGTTTCAAAAGTATATGGTCAAAGCCTGAAAACATGTAGACTTTGTTTTTTGGTTGTTGAGGTAATTCTGTCTTCCTGATGAGATTACATTTGAAATTTTGGTTGTGCTTTTGATATTTGTATATTAACATTAAGTGTTTTGGAATATAGATTCATTGCCCTGCCCAACAGTTTAGTGTAACATTGTTGATAAAACCACTCTTGACTACATCTAAATCTCAGCTTTAATATGATGCTTCTTCAAGAAATGTACAAAAGCATTTTGGTGACAAAACAACACTGATATTTAGTGTTGCATTAACTTATACATCCAATTTTTTTCTTGATTATCACCAGGGGTGAATATTGAATTTCTTACACTTTGTGAGTAATCAGAAACTAAGGTATATCAAAGAAAGTCAGTATATATACTATGTCAGAGTCAGACTGTGGTATAATGCTGTACTCAGGCAGTCTACAGAATGTGGATTTATGAGGAAGTATTGCCTTATACTGGTGCAGTTTTTGTGTATCCACTAATAACCTTTTTCAGAAACTGGTTTGATGGAACTAGTGTAGTCTTGTGAATTCTTGAAGGAATTGGTTTTATCAACTTTGTTTTTATAGTTGGGTGAATAGACTGCAGGGAATGAAGTTGCTGTCACTCTCCATATTTAGAGCTTGCTAAAATGCAGTATTACTCAACAGTCCTGTACTAGATTCCTAGATGGGATCGATACCTGTAAATTGTCTTGCAAGCTGTTGCTGAAATATTTCCTGCTTCTTAACCAGGTCAAAGGAAAGAAAAGTATACAGTGTCAAAAAAAAATTTTCTTAAGCATACTTGTCTTATCCTAAAATTTATCATTGGAAAGTTACAACTTCATAGCTATCTGTTAACAGTTTGCCTTTGGATAAATGGCTGCAATTACATTCTCTCTTTTTTGGTTTAGTGTGGTGAAAACAAACAATGTGGCTATAGAATGATCTGTAAACTGTCTTGAAATCTGATGTCTGCAGGAAATAATTCTATGCTTAAATTTACAAAAAGCAAACTTGCATCTCTGGCTTAAAGTAAATGTGATCCTACAATGCAGTCCCTTTGCTTACAGAGGGGATGCTGTGATGCTTCACTGGGCAATAATTTTCTGCACACTATTTAAATGGGACTTGTTGAATCTCACGCTCTATGCCTATAACTCAATCTCTCTGTATTTCTGAGTATTTTTGACTGTAGGATGTCCTTCACTAATGCCTGTATCTGCAGTAGGCCTATAAATATACTGCAGGTGGGAAGGTAAGTATATGAAGAAAAGGGCTCTGGTGAGTGGCCTTTGCAGAAAATTACTTTTTATCCTTTTTTCATGAAAATCTATATTTGTAACAACGGAGTTTTTCATTGCAAGGCCTTTCCTGAACCATTCTACTTCAAAAAGTAGATGGAGAGCACCAGGTCAGAGACTAGCTGTGGGCTCTTACCAGTACTACTTCTTTTGCAGCAGAGGGCAGTCGGGTAATTTTTGAAACAAAGTTTAATATGTGTCCTTTCTTACAGGGAGAAGAGGTAAGTGTCTTAACTCTCCTTAGTATTTGGTTTGCAGCCTATGGCTAGTCTACAGTTCTCCCCTCTTCTTATCCCCTTCTCTCTATTTGACTCCAGCCTGATCCAGTCTGTTTTGATGCTGATATAAACTAACACCCATAAAACAGGAATTGCATCAGTCCTTTCATGCCATTCTTATTCCATAAAGGCCTTGCAATGGAAGACTCACAAAGTATGTTGATTCAACAGAGTGACTAAGGGTTTCCTCCCTCTTCTTTTTGCCTCCACTTTCTCTTGTCTCACAGGTCCGCCCATCCGCTTCCTTCTGCGGTGAGTAACGCCAGCAGCCTCTGCTCGCTTTGAGACATTTAGAGTCTGAATCGTTCTTTTAATTTAAGGTACCCCAGAGTTCATGGCCCCCGAGATGTATGAGGAGAAATACGATGAATCCGTCGATGTATATGCTTTTGGGATGTGTATGCTAGAGATGGCCACGTCTGAGTATCCTTATTCCGAGTGCCAAAATGCTGCGCAGATCTACCGTCGAGTGACCAGTGTAAGTCCTTCCCCACTACTGATTCTAAAGCTACTACTACTAGCAGCAAAGGAGTACAGCTGGGTAGCATGGTACTGTGCCAGTGTGTGTGTGTGTGTGGGAAAGAGAAGCTGACGAGGTTTCTGGGGGATGTAGTGGAAAGGTGTAAGATGGTTCAACTTACCAAACAGTCAGAAGCCTGTAAAATAAGTGAATGGAAATAAAATTTTGCATGTGTTCATACTCTTCCTTCAGTATATAAGAAGGTATTGCATAGGGTTAAAAAAACCCAAACAAACAAAAACCAACCAAACCAAAAAAACTCCCAACAAATCCAAAACTAAACAGCAAAGCATATTAGAATAGTAACAGATTACTTTCTAAGCCACTGGGGGGATGGTGGAATATTTCAGTCTTCAAGATTAGCTGGTAACTTTGTTCTCTGAAATAAAGCTGGATCACAAATTCAGAGCACTTTGGCAGAGCGGCATGCCAAGGCAAATCATAAATTGTTTCCTAGAGTGATTTTTAAGTTAATAGTTTACTGAATTCCAAATGGCCCTTAGCTACTGCATGTCAGGTGTGGTTCTTATAGTGGAAATAGTTGATAAATAGCAGGAAAGTATTCCACCCTGAAAGATGCTTGTAAGTGTAGTGGTGGTTGTGGAGGTGGCATTGCGAGCGAAACTGAAGAAGGCTGAGAAGGCAAGTGAGAAACTGAGTTTGCCCATCTGACTAGACTTAAGTGGAACTGACGGACCTCAAACATAGGAAGCAGAACTGTAGTGCTAGAAATGTTCAGAATGGTTGTGTCTAGGTTTACTTTGTGATCTCTAAAACAGTGTCGTGAAGACTGTACCAGTGCAGTAAAACAATCTGCACATATTCAACCTTCTGATCTAAGCATTCAGAAAGAGAAGTGAGGTCGTCACTTGGGGAAGTAAAAACTTCCATTGGATTTCTCAGAATACCTGTGTGGATGAGCAATGGGAGGAAAAAGAACTTACCTCTTCCTCTGATCTGTAGACAAATGAATTCCTGTTAGTCCATTTGTGTGTATTATCTTGGAGAAGTTGAGGATTTAATGAACGACTTAGCTTTGGAAAAATAAAATGCTCTCTTAGTCCTGATGCATCATACTATAAAAGGTAGATATAGTTGCTGATTTACAGATGTGGAAGGAAAGGTCTTTGTGTCAGAAGTAATAAATTCTGACGGAAGGCTTGATGAAATAAAAGATTATCCTTTGTTTGAAGGGCAATATTGGAGAGGCACAGAAGGAGGAAGAAAGAAGGGATAAATGGCCATTTTGCTTTTTGAATAGATTTTAGAGTAAGTTTTTATATATATATATATATATATATACACACACACACACATATACACGCACACACAGTGTCAGGGTTGTTTCTGCATGTCGGTGGACTCACCTGTAATTTTCTAAGTAGAGAGGAAAAACAAGGGTAAAGTCTAGCCTTTACTCTGCTTACAGCATAATCTGATGTACAAGATCTACAAGCTATTTGGATTGTGAAAGAAAATAAAGTACCTTACCAAAACAGTCTTAGTGGTACCTTTTGCTATGGTTATGTATATGTCTTGGCCAAAGCCAAAGCAGTGTAATTTGGATGGGCACTTTTTCTCAGAACAGATACCTGATCTAACTGCCCTGCCCATTCCTTAAAAAGTGCTAGGAACTGAGCTGTGGTGAAAATAATCAGCTTTTGAGACAAACTTACCACTTGTTTATTCTGCTTGATGCCTCTTTCTCTCCATTGTTCTTGGTTGCCTGTTGAACTTCTAAGTGGATGAGAAACACTGGTAATTTTTCAGTCTGTCCAACACCACCTTCTATGGTACTCTGCTGGTGATGGTTCACAAATTGAACCTGCTGTTTCATCTACTGCTTGAGAGCCCTGAAATGTACTTTGATATTAAATAAAAGAAAACTTGTTTTCTTTCAGAAGGTGCAAAGGACAGGAAGGTAAATAAAATGAAATGTACATTTCTCTGTGTCTAGGCAGAGAATGAAAGGCTGTGTGTTTTAGTATACTTGTGTGTGTTTATTTCACTGTAGTCACAAAGCAGTTTATTAAACAAAAACAACCAAACCTCCCCCCCCAACCCTCAAACAAACTAAAACCCAACCATAAACAAAACTTGACCTAGCTTTTGAGGAAGACTTTCAATGAAGAAAAGAAAATATTATCTGGAAATAAATCACAAACCTATCTTAACTGATAATGCAGAATTCAGTGGTTTTTTTCCATAATATGAAAAGCAGAACCATGTTATGAAAGTGACATAAGATACTCTTGTGTTCTTTTATCAGTCTGTGAAAGCTCTGTGAACCAATTTGAAAGAACCACATAATTCTCTGCCCTTGTCCTTTGCTCCCTGGTAAAGTAAGATTTTTTTTTTTTTTCATTTCAAAGGAGAATTTAGAAGTTTAGATGATGTCTGCAGTTGTGGGTGAGGGGTGAACCAGTTGAGACATTCAGTACTTAAAAGGACAGTGTGTGAACCATCGATAACAGAGTGGAGTCAGAACACTTTCTGTGTAGGTGAATCCAACAGTACTTACCAACACATTTCCTTCTAATGTATGTTGGAAGGTGAATGTGGTTTGTGGAAGATGTTTAACATTTCCATTTAAAACCCTCATTTTGCTACTTCTCTAGGCATGTTTAGGAATATTTTGAGGTACCAGCTGTAGTCCTGTGGTGCCTTAAATGAAAGGATTATTTTATCTAGATACATACACAGAGACCAGAGGGAAAGACAGTAATAATGGTCTGCTATTGAAAGTCATGAAAGATTATGCTGTGTGGGAGCTTAAAAACCACTGAAACCCCAAAGGCAGTAAGATCAAAATGTGCAGCCACTCAGTGCAGATGATACATATTTAAATTAATTGATTTCCCTCACCCCCTTTGCAGTAACTATTAGACTTAGTAAAAAGCAGAGTTGCTGCATTAGCTTAAATCCTTGCTATTGCTTAGGACAGAAGCCTGTAAAAGGCATCTTGATGCCCAGGGTGTCCTCTCAGGATTGGACTTGGTACTACTAGCTTACATTCTTTTCTCCCATTTTGGCTGTGTGTTGGTGTCTTTCTCTAGGATGGCCTTCAGCCGCATTGCATTTTGACCTTACACCTTACATGATAAGAATTGCTCTAGCTCATGCCCAGATACTGCAGTGTTGGTTTGGGGCATTTGCCAGAATTGCTCAGGGTACTCTGGGTATGTGTTCTGCCTCTTCTGTTTAGGGTCCTCCCCCATGGCTGGAAGCAGTTTTCTGACTAAATAATACAGTTAGGTGAGCAAAGATCTAGATATCAGGTCTAAAGGCTGAAGTTCCTGCTAGAGATGAGACATTTTTTCGCCCAGGCAGTAACTGTTGCTTCACATTTTGGATAATAGCATTGCTGCATGAGTCTTGTCATGTCATCTTAGCAAGATGCTTGTCTATATTGTCTATGTTGTCTTGCTGGGAAGTTCCTGTTTTTCCTTAAGGCAGGGCTGGGGTAAAGTTCCTGAATTTTCTATGGCCCAACAAACAGAAGTGCAATTAAATTAATTTTCTGGTTCAATTTAACTAGAAGAATTCTTCTTTCTCTTCTTTCAGTAGAAGAATCTGGGTGAATGCCTGGCTTAAAAAACCAACTGTCTACAACTTGTAGAACTTGAGGTGTTACTCTGAACTTTGTTTTACAGTTCTGGTAAGGAAGTCGGCAGGAGTTTGACACAGAATATTGACCTCTGTTGTACTTGCACCCTCTACCATATTCAGTCCAGACGCTTTCACTAGCAGTTTCTTTAGAATGGAAAATGAGATCTGCATGTCTTGTCACTCAAGCATAAAGGAGCCTAGCCTTCTTTGTTTTCATTAAATTATAATGTTGCAATTTTGTCTGCAAAAAATCTGTTTTCTTCATTGAAGCTATCCTCTGCTGTTCTTTGGAAATGGTTCCAAATAAATTAGTAGTTAGTACTTAAATGTAACTCCTTGGATTTTTACCTTGTTGGGCAGGGGGAAAAAAAATCTGAGGTTTAAGCAGTATGTCTCTTCAGCTGGGACTGAATGCATCTAGTGGGCACTTTACTGTATACTTGGCCTCAGAAAAAGCTCTAATTAAGCCTGTAATTAATTGAAAATAAGCTGCACCATTAAGGTAGTCTTGCCTGCTCCTGTGATTTCCCCCCCCCCCCCCTCTGCCCTCTGGTGCAGACACTACTGTCTGTATGATACATTACTAGATTAGGGAATGGGTCACTCCCTCCCTCCCTTCTTTTTTTTCAATTCTGCACCATATAAAAGCAATACAGGCAGTTCCAATTAAAAATGTAGTCAAGATACTAAATTCTGTTACGTACTCACTTGCACAAAAAAGGAGTGTAATATCTTGGTAAAATTCAGGAAGGTTTCCCTTTCTGACTTTGTTCCTCTCTGGAGATTGGTATTTTTTTTGACCTGTTCTGTGCATATTTCAATTAAACAATTTGTCACAAGAGAGATTTGAAATGGGCTACATGTGCATTTAAATGAAAACAGAGTTATTTATATAGCAGACATCTTAAGTATGATTTCTTAATTTAGTCTGTTTGGGAAGCAATGCAGTGAAGGCATGACTGACTTCAGCTGCTTTGTCTCAGTCTCTGGTGAGACCGATGTAACCCAATGCAGTTGCCTCGAAAGCTAGCTTGGTTTTTTCTTGCTCATGTTGCAGTTGCCACTCACAGATGTAGTATAGACCTCGATTACTTCTACACATCAAGCTTTCTTTATGCAGCACAGAGATAATTTTTGTAAGTGTGTAGAGGTACTGATTACTCAATCTTTTATACTTGGATGTCCTAAGTCTTAAATTTTCTAGGTGATTTGACTAGTCCTAGGACTAGTCAAAGACAATTAATGGGTTTGTTATGCATATTCGTCTCATTCTTGCATATCTACTACTAAAACAAAAATCCAAACATGTTCATTACAAAAAAGTTAGGAAGACCATCCTCAGTTTCAAA